AGATTAAGCGGAAATTGTGACTGTGAAGATAAATTTTAAAAGTATAGACTGGGATGTTTGTATCAGCCTAAGACCAAGTGAATTCGATGTTAAACCAATGAATGCTGTCATATGTTTACGATTTTTCGGCTTCCCAGTTTAGAAATTCGCAAAGTTGAAATCAAATATTCCTGATCTGAAAAGGATTTGAGAAGGAGACGAAATTTTCAGAATAAAATCAATCAATCAATCAACAGGAATCTGATCTACATCATGTGAAAACGGTCGATCACCAAACGTTTGCCGATGTGCCAATTCCTTCATCCTTAGCAGTAAATCGCTAACTTCACTCAGTTGTTTATCATCGTAGGCGAAATGCTTACGTAACTCCTGCAATTTCAGCAGCGAAAAGTTTATTGTCATTGCAATTATTGCAATTGAAGGAAACGGAATTTGAGAAACCTATAGGGCTCATGCTAGAGAATTTCCATTTGAATAATGGTCATCTCAGTTCATAATGAACATCGAATATCGCCTGTTGGCAAGGGTATTAGTTGGAGGAGGTTTGAAAACATATTTTCAGTCAATATAAGTATAGCTTATCACAAAATCTTATCGAGTATATCCATTTAGAATATTTTTCGATATGTCGATCTGTTAGAATAGTTTGAGGTACTTAAGAATAACATGTGAAGAATGAAATAGAAAAATGAAATCTACATCAACTGACCCCTTTCACATCAACCGATTTGCACGGAACAGTCGAAATTGAAACGAAACAAAACAACGATCCAATAAAATTTAATAGCGATTTCATTGCGTCAATAAGCAAATGCTAGAAAATAAACGACAACAAGAGAAAACTTCAAAGATTTGATTCGCTCGTCTCGAATCAGCGAATAAACTGCTTGTTCTGAACAAATTTTCTTCTGTTTCCTCTTCGTCTTGTTGTTCTTAATTGTCGACGAAACCAGCCGCTATCTATACTGCCATCTGTATCATTACGGCTCTTGAACACTGAATTAAGAATTGACGGCAATAAATAAGATATGTAAACATTCATCTAATCACTGATAGGATTAAATTTTCAGTTTGTCAAGTTCATTTTTGGAAACAATCAATCCTAGAAAAAAGCTGCCGACTGGTTACGAGAATCAGAAATATTCTTATCATCACGTCGAAAAAATTCCAGCTTATCCCTCGATATCCCATAGTATCTATTTGAATCTCGCACTAACTCTCTATATCTTGCGATATCTCTCTCACTCTCCAAATCTCCCGA